GGGTTTAGGTAAATCCAGTTACCATGCCGGGTATACATGACAACTAGCGTGGCCAATGAAGGAACTTGCACTGAACTTACCAAAGTTGGGAAACCCTAGTATTTGCTATATATCCCTATTCCCAATCCCTAGACCCCAAAAAGAAGTGCTGTGTCGCGCTGCAAAAACCATACCATATATACCCATATGAGCGGTGGGCAAAACCCTTATGAAGGAGTTTATAAGAGGGCTCTCATATCCATGCCAGATGTTGCAAAAAGTGGTGCGCGTGTCAGTGGGCGTCAGCATTTTGCAGGCACATTGTCTGCGATAGCTCGCGTTCTCGGCTTGGTAAGAAGCCTCTGCCCGAAGCTGGCAAGACACGAGCGTCAGTCAAAGCTGTGCGCGCGTCAGTAAAACCCGCGCTTTTCACTCATACCTCATTTGCGATAGCTCGCGTCAGTGCAAAAGAACAGCAAGAGCTCGCGATGTCGCTGGGACCGCGTCAGTAAAAAACGCAAGGTTCCGCAATAGTGATTGATACGAGAGCGGAAGGTCCAAACGGTGTTGACCACGGCTCATATGAGCCATAGTCTACACTGCTTCAAGGGCCCGGGTTATATAGGGGATTATATAGGAGTATTATAGGAGTTACTAAGAGGGATACTGTACTAGGAGTTTAGACTTCTGCGCATTGTTGGCAGAAACTTCAGGTTAAGTTCCTTAGCAGCAACCCAGGCTGCCCATCAAAGTGGGGATGGTGCTCTCCAGCTTCGTGGCATCCTCAGAGGTTATATATCTCTCTACAGCCCCTACATATAGTCCGCCTTAAGTAGAAAGAATATGGCTCTGGGTATTTCATAATAAGATCCCCATATACCCCATATTCTATCTACTTGAGAGGGACCTATATAACCTCTACATTCCCCATAGGGGCTTGAGGTGATTTCTGCCTTGCAAAGAGCCCTGAAATTCCAGGTGCTGCGTGGCGCTTGCGTCTTGCTGTTGGACCTCCGGGCGATCCTCAACGATCAGTCCGAGCTGCCTGTGGCAAGCTGGCTAACGCAGGCAGGACATTCTTCTGATAATGGTGACGATAGGCCCCCGTAAGTAGATAGAATATGGGGTATATGGGGATCTGATTATAATATACTCAAAGCCATATTCTATCTTCTTCAGGGGGACTATATCCTGAGTGGCTCTGCTCCTTACTAGATTCTGCCAGCAAGAGTCTGGGATTCAGAGATTAGAGATTCCCAAGCCTTACTATTTTAAACCGACTGATAGAATTCCTGAGTAAACTGGCCTTGGCAAGTGTCAAGCCCTTTACCTTGCCTATCACTGCGCAGTGCCTGGCGCTGGTGGGCACCAACGTCCTGAACTTGTTGATCCTGCGGCTGGTCGCTGGTGCCGTCCTCCGCGGCTCCAAGGCGGTTCAGTGTATCAAAATAAGCGGGGTGTCACTTATGATGAGAGTACCTCTATGTATCCCCAAAGATCATATATGTCCACAAGGCTCGTATATATCCACAAAGATCGTAGGATCTTGGGACCTGCATTGTTGAGACATGCCTAAATACTTTGCTTCTGGAGGCAGAGTCTGGATGGACAGCTACAGTGGCGGAACGGGCACTGAAGCTGGCTGGGGGCTCTGCTGCTGAGTGCTGCTGTCAAACTTACTTTTGGTTTGCAAGAATCTCCATTACCTTATACATCTACTATTAAGCTACTATTTTTATGTCCATTACCATTACTATTACTATTATTCCTATATTACTAGTATCATTACTTACTGCTGGTTTACAAGAATCTTTTCAGGCCATGCAGCACCTGGGCCCTGCTGCTTCCGAGCGCATCCTACTTGAGCTTGAGGCAAAAAAGTTGCCGGGGAACTTGGGGACGATCTTGGAGTTATGTGGGCATTTTACCGGAAGTATGCAGGGACCGTTTAGGGGATGTCCTAAATCCTAAACCCTGATAGGGACTATATGATCGCTGGACAAAGTTCCTAAACCCTAAATCCCACTTTCAGAGGCAAAGAAGCGAATGCTTCCTTGCAGGACTCCAGGTCTTCGGGTTCCCAGAGCTCCAGCCTGGAGAGACTGTTCCGGTGCGCTGCCTCCTGCGCAGATTGTGATCACAATGCTAGTAATAGTCGTCATTAATAGTGGCAATTTATAGTAATAAATAGTAGGACTAGTAGTAACAGCAGTAGTAATAGAAACAATACTATTAGTAATGATCATAGTTGCAATAGAAATCGTCATACCAATGCTCCTGCAAACAGAGAGCAAGACAGGCTTTTCCGGCAGCCGCCCTTCTTGGAGGAGGAGACCGAGGCAAACTCCCATTCCCCCCTCTCACTTTTGTTTTGTCAACAATGCTGCAGCCTTCTTCGGAGGCGGCTCCAGTCGCTCCACCCGTTAGTGAAGGGCTGAGAGTTCCTGGTCAGCTCAGTGGAGGGTTTCTGTGGGGGTCTTTGCCCAGGTGCAGAGGCCCAGGAGGCCAAGGTTGCAACGGACCTGAACCGGGAGAAGCTGTCCAGGGCTGATGGGAGGGGATGACATGCGATTCGCTGATTCGCTGGGGCAGCTGGTTGTCAGCAAGGCGGGAGATGATGATCAGACTTGCAGCCGAATCCGCCGGCTTCACCGTGGAGGACCTGAAGTTAAGATCCTTCTTGGAGCGTTCAAACATCTCTTGAGCCACCAGCGAGTTTCACCAGCACATGACAGCTTGCGATCCAGGCAGACAAGCCACTCTTGGACTCGGGCATGGATTCCAAGGCGGCGGTGCAGTTCAGTAGCAAGTCTGCTTCTGAGGTTCCCTGGGCCTTACCTGTCTGTCACTTTTGTCCGTGGCTTTGTGTCTCTGAGGCTTGCTGCTGAGCTTCCGGGACTTCGGCTCCCGAGTACCCTGGTGTTTGACTACCCAACGCTGTCTGTGGGCGTGCCCAGAGAGCTGCTAGCTGCGATGAGCTGTGAGTCCTTTGATGATTTGGCAGCTCAGGCTGTGGCCGGCTACGCTGCCGAAGCCAGCACCATGCGAGGACCCAAGCGCGCGGCGCCCCCAGCGCCCACGGCACCCGCCAGCGGGTCGGTTTCCGAGCCGCTGGCCGTCATCGGCACGGCGTGTGCCTTCCCAGGCCTGACACCGGACTTCCACTGACAAAAACTAGGGTCGGCAGGAATGAAGGAGCCGAAAAGATAATGTAAACCACTTGGTTATTAGAACATGGTAGCTGTTCAGGTAATGACTAGGTTATTGGGGATTATGAGTACCTAAGAGGTTAGGCACAGCTCTTGAGCCCTTTGGAGGCGACTCTGGCAGCCCTGCAAAGTTCGGCGCGCTGCTGGCGCTTGGCACAGATGGTGTCGTCGAGGCGGATGCCTCCTCCTCTGGAAACGACTGCTGGGGATTATTTGGGGACAAGGGTTTGTTTAGGTGTTTTTCAGGAATTTTTATAGGGGTATATATAGGGCAATTTAGGGCTCCATAGGGAGAATTGTATAGGGGTCCTATGGGGATGTTAGTGGGTTGTAAAATTGCTTCCCGACTGTCAGGTGCCCTTCACGCGCTGGGAGCTGGACAGAATCAAGCTCGTTCTCCGTTGGAATCAGCTGAGACTAGCCCCTTACCTTGGGCGCAGGACGAATACTACGACCCCAATCCTGACGCGTCCGGTCCCTGAGAGCGGCAGAGATGCAGGGGACGGGATTTGCCAGACGATTCATCTATTGAGGCCGGGGAAGATGTACCCGCGTCATGCAGCCGCGTGGCTGCACCCAAAATCATGTTCAAAAAGCTGCTTCTTGGCCTCAGAAAGTTGCAAATGCCCAGGCCTTTATCGAAGGGGCGGAGGATTTCGCGGCCTCGTACTTCGGTGTTTCGGCGCCGGAGGCCTTACCGACACTCTGCATTCATCAGCCAACTTGGACCCCCCGACCTTGAGTTTATAAAGGATCGCTGAAGTTTTTCGGGTAATGCGCAAAGTGTCCATTGAGGCGCCTCTGAATTCGCATTGAGTGTGTGTTTTAAAAGTCTTTTCAGTTTTGAAGACATCTCGCTGCATGATAGACACAGGTTCGTTAAACCATTTTTCCTAACTCGATCGGCGGTTCTTTAAATTGCTTTTGCCGGGCGTGGGGGTCTCAAGTTCGCTGGCGATCCATCGGGCCTAAGCTTCACGTTTTCAACACGCCTTCTTGTTTGGGTCCCAACAAAAGAAGGGCCAGCCACCCCTTGAAGTTTGTGATCCTCCACACATGAGGGGGTTTCCTGAAATTAGGGGTACCTGTTTCGCGAGTCCTTAAAGTATAATGAAAACCCCAACATGTTGGGGCATAGATTGGGGTCTCCTTATCTAGGGAAACTTCCATGCGTAAATATGTTCCTTCTCACATGCAAGGTAAAACTGGAGCCCACCCGACCTCATCAGGTGCTTCCAGCGGAAGGATTTCTGGAATTGAGTGTCACGAATATGTTGCATCACCTTGAGCCCACTGCCAAGATCCGAGGACCTGACTCTCAAACATTCTAGGCGGGTCAAGCCCCCACCCAGCAACGGGTGGCAACGGGTAGCACCAAAGACTATTGTAGGTAACTTAAGGCCAAACTGTTACTCTAGGGGGGATTGACCGCACATCCTGGCATGTTTTCATTTGGACCCAAGGTCCCCTAAACCCTAAACCTTATAGCCTAATCCCTAAACCCTGAACCCTGAGCCTTAAACCCTAAACCTTGAATCCTCAACCCTAAACCCAAAGGCCCCCATGCGCCAGGCCAGGGCCATGGATCCCCAGCAACGACTGGCACCTTCTTCTGCAGAGATGGGAAGGGGAGGGCCTTGGGGGTGTAAGCTTTTAGGGTTTCGGGATGTTTTTGGGTTTAGGGTTTAGGGTAGTCTAGGGTTTAGGGTATTAGGGTATTAGGGTTTAGGGATGATCAGGGCTGGGGGAAGCCTTCAAGGATTTGTGTTGCCTCCTCATAACCCTTTTGAACGAAGCTTGCAGGTATTGGAGATGTCCCACGACGCGTTTTTGGACGGCAATATGAAGCGAGAGGCAGATGAGCTACAGTCAATGTTAGCCTGGTTAAAGACAAAGTCCCCAATAAGGAGCCCATGTCCATTAATTCTACTGGGTACATGAGGTAATCTTGTCTTGGTAAGATCATGCAGAGGATACAAGGTTCCAATCCACTGGCAACTTTCCAAGCAGGAGTCCACCATTGACTCCTTTAATCTATGACCTGGAGTGCTGCTTCCTTCTTTGTTGCGGTCTTGAGCAGGCCCTGGTGGGCACCAACAGTGCTGCCATCGTGGGCTTGTCCAACAATGATTGGATCCAAGTCCAGTCAGGCGACATCCGCCAGCGCCTTGGAATCAGCAGCATGCTGCGGGTAGACACTAATCATCCCCTCTAAACAAACCCCCCAACCCCCGAATAATACATGTATACCCTTTTCGCATACATCATGGTGCCATATTGGGAGGTGGGTTTCTCTCGGGGGGAGAAGATTACACAACGCGCGCTTGAGGCAAGCTGAATCCCTACACGGCCACCGGAACGTCTGCCTCTGTGGCGGCCGCCCGCAGGGCACCCGGCAGTCGTGAATCGGAATCTATAACAGGGGCTGTGTTGCTGTTATGATTATGGGCAGTATTGTATTATCAATATTCGCACCATTAAAATTCACATACCCTAAACCTTAACCCTTGAACCCTAATGCCTGAGCCCTAAACCCTAAACTCTAAACCAAACCCCCTAAGCCCTAAACCCTGAAACTCACTGTTATTGTATGTGTGTTATGTGTGTGAGAGCATCTCCGAGGCGTGGCCTTCTGCCTCGGCCTAAAGGGCCCGGCCTATGTGGTGGACACGGCTTGCTCGTCAGCACTGGCCGGGGGCTCCCAGCATCCAGCATCCCAGACTCCCTAAAGGATCCGAACAATAAATGGAAATCCCGTAATGATCCCTTAGTTTCGTCGATGTAGTAATTGGTTCATGTTGGGGGCCGTCAATTTTTTTGAGATCCTTTAAGGGGTGATTTTCCCTTGATTAGTAGGTAGAACCCACAAAGCTATAGGTACGAGTTCCCACTTAGTATACTAGTTTCGATTTTCTTTCCCATTTCTCCAATGTAACCCTAGTAGGGTACTACTCCTACACTCTTTGTTTCTGGCGGAGCTTGTGAGGTGGCTGTGGACGCAGCTGCCATGAACCTCCGGCGCGGGAGGTGCACCGCGGCCGTCAGCGCGGCGGCCAACGCCAGAAGCTCAGAGCATAGCATAGCTCTCAGGGTTTAGGGTTTAGGGTTAGGGGTCGGGCTCCGCACTCCACCCATTTTTGGGACTATATGGTATATGGGGTTATATATGGATAATGTTAAAGAAAATGGAAACTACTGTTTAGGGTTTAGCGTTTAGGCCTTTGGTTAGCTGGGAAGGAGGGAAATGGAAAAGAAAAGAGAAACTACTATAATGGGTTATGTAGGACCATTCCTGAATTAGTCTTCCTAGCTAACCAGCGGTAAGTCAAGGTCATTGCCAGCCCCGCCACCTTCATCAGCTTCAGCAAGCCCCGGATGCCGGGATCCTGTTGGCCAATGCTCCCAAGCCCTCTCCGTGCTGCATTTGCTGCAAGGCTTTCGCCCCGGGGAAGATCGCACACCTTTGACGCCTCTGCCGATGGCTATGGCCGCGGAGAGGGGGCAGGAGATGTCTGCTGACTCAGTCCCTATGTGTATGAAGCTCCCCTCCAAACCACCAAGCAGCACAGCGCACGAGACCACGGTCTATCAAAACCAGCTTTGCCAAGCTGCATTCTCTCAGTAGCCAACCCCCAGAACGTCCCAGCTCTTAACCCTAATATAATCCTTCTTATCCTTTAGAGTATGCTAGCGATGGCAAGAGTGGCAACCAACCTGTGTCTCACTACCATGCGGTACCCTCCACAGTGCCCAGTCTTGACAGGGCACCTAAAGCACGAATGTGCGCATCAACCACAAGAAGTGTATTTGGGCAACGCGAGATGTATCATCGTGTTTGCCCTTAACGGCTTACTTTCAGAAACTCCCAGCGTTTTAAGCAGGGGGCGGCAGAGAGATTTGCAAGCGGCAAGGAGCTGTGGCGCTCTGCCCAATGTCTCAAGCCCACGGACTGGCCCGTGTGGATGCCTCAAAGTCGGAGGTAGAAGGTCCTTCTTGTCGTTCCTTCATCCTTCAAAGGCCGCTTTCGCCTGTTTCTCTGTGAGGTACTGGATGTTTTTCTGCGCTAAGGCAACCCTGAAGGGGTCGGCGGTGAACCAGGACGGCCGAAGCTCGACAATGACTGCACCCAATGGACCCTCGCAGACCCTGGCAGTGGCCACAGCGCTGTCAGAGGCGAGGCTGCGGCACCACGAGGCCAGGAAGAGGGCACAAAAAGTACTTGACTCGACTGAGCCACGCGGCAGCAACGCAGCAGCGACGCAGGTGCAGCACCACGAGTGCCACGGCACCGGCACACCGTTGGGCGATCCCATCGAGGTGCGCGGTTCGCGTAGTCTTCCAGGAGAGGCAAAACTCAAATGTCTCGATAAAAAAGCCTCTCCGTTTCTTGTGTTTGTCTGAGGTGGGCGCCCTTCAAGCTGGAAGCCTGGAGGAGGGGATCAGAAAGCAGCCGGCAGCGCTCGCTGCCGTGAAGACCGGCGTCGGGCATTTGGAGGGCGCCGCGGCCTCGCCCGGGCTGCTGAAGACCTTGGCCCTGCTGCGCTGCCGCAGCGCCGGAAGCCCAGCAGCCCAGTAAGACCAGACAGAGGGGTTTAGGCTTGAGGAAGTTTAAGAGAGAGAAGCAAACTAGTTCATCCTGTGAGGCTTTGGCGGTGGTCCATTTGCACAGCTTGAATCCACACCTCAGCTTGCTCGAGGACGTGCCCCAGGTGGGTGCGCTTGGGATGTTGTCCGTGAGGAGCTTGTGTGAGAGTGATCTTGAAAGGCTTTTCCCACGGAGCATGCCCCGCTTTCCGGGCGCTTGGGGCGCTTGGCCGGTGGCCTCTCCTCCTTTGGATTTGGTGGCACCAATGCCGTGGCGCACATGCAGGAGGTCAAGGGAAAGGGACAGAGTGTGGGGAGAGAGTGTAACCAACAGCGCTGGCTGGGTAATAGCAGGTAGCAGTGGGGTGACTGGAGCCCAAGCAAGTAATTTTATGGAAGTCTTTCAGGATGATGGCCACACCAATCACCAAATTCCTTCTCCACGCATGGCCAACATGTACTCAAAAGCGAGTCCTGAGCTCTTGGCCAGAACCACCCGAACTCTTTAAAATCACTACAGACGGTAGCATCCAGATGCTATCCCACTGGTGCAACACGAGGAGGCTCAGATGAGAGCAAGATTTTTGTGGTATATCCCTACATATCCCTATATATCGCTATTTCTCCTTATATATCCCGACATATCCCTAGACAGCGCCCATGCCCTACGAGTCCGCGGACGCCGTAGCAGTGCTGGAGCTACCTGCGCTGCCCGAGTACGTCAAGAAGCCCTTCCCGTGGAGAGACTGGGTTGCTGTTCAGGAACTTGAAATACGTTACCATAATATGGGTATATCGGGTCTAGGGTATTGGGGTTTAGGGATACCACAATATGTTTAAGTATCTTGTAAGTAATAGGCTTTCCTGACTGTCATAACTTGATTTAAGTTCCTTAACAGCAACCCAGGAGATCCCGGCTACCGGCTCCTACGGCGCCAAAACGGCAACGACAGCTTTGAGGCACGGCACCTTCAACCTTGAAGACTCTCAGTAATAACAAGAGTAGTAATCGTGCCAATAGTAACCCATACTTTGGTAATCACTGCAACTGAGATGAAGCCCCCGGGAATTGGAGCATAATGTTGATATCTGCGTGCTTAGGTCAAGATGTCTGCAGACGTCTACGACACTGTCTCACACCACGTGGTCTTCGACTCCATCGTTACCCCCGGAGTAGTCTACGTGGAGATGGCCCTGGAAGCCACCCGGAAACTCTTTGGTCCCAAGACCCAGCTCAGGGATGTGGCCATGGTCTTCCCCTTTGTAGTCCCAGATCGCTCTGAGCCCGAGCCTACGATGCGTTTCGTGTTGAAGAGCAACACGCGCTTCGAGATCCAGAGCACCAACGCGGGCGGCAAGACCACAACCCACGTGGAGGCATCCCTTGACCCAGGACGGGGGTAGATTTCAGCAGATGTCTTGTTTTCTCAGCTTCAGGGCACTCTACAGATCATGCTTGCATAGAATGACGGTAAAACCTCATCTCTTGAAGAGGAACCAGATGCACATGACAGGAGACAAGACTCCAAAGCTCCCAGAGCCCGAAGATCTGCAAGTGCTTCGCAGCCGCATCACGGAGCCCGTGGAGACGAACATCGTCTACGAGGCCATCCACTCCGTGGGCCTGTACCTGGGCCCCATGTTTCAAGTTGCCCGGAAATTGTGGCGACGCGATACGGAGACGGAGTCCGAGGTTCTAGGGTATCTACAACTGGACCCACATGTCAAGAATGTGGGCTACGTCATGCACCCTGCCTTGCTGGATGGTACTATTCATATTCTAGCAACTGCATCTATTGGGAAGAATGTGAGTGGCTTGAAGATCTTTGGTGGTGTTGGCAAAGTGGCAGTTGCGCGCCAGGAGAATTTTTCCAGGCTCTCAGGCTACTGGGTTCATTTGCGGATCACGGAATCCTTGGAGGCATCCCAGACCTTCAATGTGTCTGTCATTGGCGATGACAATTCGCTGCTCATGTACATGGAGGACGTGGTTTTCCGGGCTGTGAAGCCCGAACAGATTCAGATGGCCATCGCCATGCAGGGGACCAAAGAAGACCAGAAGATCTACGATGTGGACTGGTCAGAATGGTCACCGTCCCCGAGCGAGGCAAGCGATGACAAAGAGCCCGTGAAACTCCTCGCTGCTGCTGACACCTCGGACCTGCTGAGTGCCCTGAGCAAACTGAAGCCTGAGTCCTCGTTGACTTTCGAAAACCTGTCCAAGACAGACCTCTTTGAATTCACCCGAATATTGCTTGCCTTTGGAGGCACCGCCCGAAGCTCTGTGCTCGAAGGGTTGCTGGCGGTCCTGCACGTGCTTCAGACTTTGGTCAAGGGAGGTAAGCCAAAGGTGGCCGAGCTCTGGCTGGCAACCTTTTGCACTCAGCCGGCTGAAGCTGGGGACGTTTCCTCCGTGCCTCTGCATGCGGCTGTCTGGGGACTAGCCCGGGCAGCCCGTAACGAGCTCCCCAACCTCCGAATCTTCTCCCTGGATTTGCAGAAGGATCTCCCCGATGTGCTGCCCCCACTAAACTCAGGCCCCGAGCTGGAGGTGGCAGTACGGTCACGGTCTTTGTTGGTGCCACGGCTGCAGGAGGCCACCTTGGAGACGCAAGAAGCGAGCGTAGCGAGCAGTCTTCCAAAGAATCCTGGCAGCTGCGTGATCACCGGAGGCTTGGGAGCTCTGGGCTTGTGCTTTGCCAGTTGGCTGCTGGACCAAAAAGCAGAGGTGGTCTTGGTGTCAAGGAGTGGGAAGCCAGCCGAGGACTGCCAGGTAGCCTTCCGACGTCTGGCATCCAAGGTCGCAGTGCATCGCGCAGACATCACTTCAGCGGATGATGCGCAGCGCCTGGTAAAGACGCTTGCAGCGCAGGCGCCTCTCCGGGGCGTCCTTCATGCCGCAGGGCTCTTGGAGGACCACATGATCATGGACCTGAACAGGACGCACTTTGAGAGAGTTCTGGCTCCGAAGGTCGACGGGACACTGAACCTCAGCGAGGCTCTAGATGCACATGGCCAGTCCGACCTGGAGTTCTTCGCGCTCTTCTCCTCCGTAGCTGCGCTGTTGGGCACCCCAGCCCAGGGCAACTACTGTGCCGGCAATGCCTTCATGGATTCCTTCGCGGCTCACTGCCGGCAGAAGGGCCGCAAGGCTGTGAGTGTTCAATGGGGTCCTTGGGCAGAGGTGGGTATGGCGGCACGTGCCAAGACCTCGGAGTCCAGCATTGCACAGCTGAAGCCGTCCAAGGGCCTGGAGGCCATGGGAGCGATCTTGGCGGCCCAAAGCAGTTTGAGGACTCCCATCCTGGCCGTAGCCAGAATCCAGTGGTCGAATCTCTTAGCACAGCTGCCTCGCGTGCCAAGCTTCCTTAGCAAGTTCAGTGTCACCAAGACCAGCACTAGAGAGGCGAGTGCCTACAGCATGGAGGATGTGAGGTCTTTGGTAGTCGACTCGTTGGCAGATGCCTTGGGCACAGACGACTTCGATGTGAACACGCCGCTCATGGAGCTGGGCCTCGACTCCTTGGCAGGCGTGGAGTTCCGCAACCGCCTCCAGGCGCGCTGTCCACAGTTCTTATCTTACCGGTGCTCAGTAGGTAATAAGGGAATATATTCCCTATATATATATATACTAATAATCCCTATATAATATATTATTCCCTCATTCCCTACTGACAACCAGGAAGTTATAGTCAGATTCAGCTGCCGGGTTCCTTCTCTTGCATCGCCAGGCTTCCGTGGACGGCATCAACCTCACGCCAACATTGATGTTCGACTACCCCACAGTCCCAGATCTGGTGGAGTACATCTGGTCTCAGGCGAATCTCATAGCAGCGCCCTGAAGTCCCAAAACAGAATCCTCACATGAGCTATCGTCTAAACTCCGCAAAGGGGGGTTATATAGGGGACAGTTATAGGGGTTCTTCAGAGGATACTAGGAGTTTAGACTATGGCTCACGTTAATAAGATCTTGGAATCATCCCTCCTGTGCTCGTTCTAATTGCAGGTGGGTCCTGCGGAGGAGGAAGATCTGCCGGCGATTCAGGCCAGACCTACGCGACTTCTGGCACTCTATTGAGGGAATTTAGGTAAGGTATCGCATATCAGGTGTAGAGGCAACATCTTAGACTCCAAGTCTGTGCGTGACCCGTGTACCGTTCAGCCTGTTCAAGTCTTCGCAAGTGCATGGGGCTCAGGGGTGTTAGGAATCTGATTCTGCTAACCGCATCTTAACAGCGTCCGTGGGCCGATCCACAAAAATTTAGGCTGTGCAGGGCCAGACATATCAAGCATGCGGGGAAATCCGTCGTGCCCCATTGGAAGCAGACAGCCTAATGGTCTTCGTGTGAGAGACTTGCATTCATGTGTGGTATGTTTGACGTGTCTGAGCGCTGTAGCTGCACAGTCATCTCCAAAACCTTACTGGTAGTTTCCATTTTTTTGTCCACTCTTACTAACTACACAATCCCCGTTATGATCCCTATGTAACCGCTATTTTGTGCCTTGTTAGGAGGCCATAGCCTGCAAGACTCTGTGCCCTAAACCCTAACCCCCTCAACCCTAGACCCTAAACCCTGCACCCTAAACCCCAAAGCACTAAACACTGAGCAAGACTTTGTGCCAGACTGGGACAGACAGCAGCCAGCTGGTCATCGCTGGGCACAGCGGCCGATTTCCTGGGAGCCTTTCCAACCACCCAGGCACTACAACATTGGGGTTTAGGGTTTGCGGTTTGGGGATTAAGGCAAAGGGTTTGGCGGTCAGGGTTTGGGGTTTGGGGTTTAGAGTTTGGGGTTTGGGGCTTAGGGTTTAGGGTGTTAAGTAATATTGGGGTTATAGGGGGATGATGGGAAAGAGGATGTAAGCTAGCGCGTATACATTCGGGTTATATGGGGGTTATGTAGGGATCCCCCGTTAATAGAACAAGAGTATAAGAGGACCCTAATTTCATTGCCACAATACTGTTTGAGGTCACAAGAATTTGGATTCGCGACTAACGCAGGTGGATTCTGGCGGAACCTCCTCGCTGGCGTGGATACAACTGCCGACCTACCACCTGAACGCCCTGGCCTTGAAAGCTTTTCCTGGAGAAGGGCAGGGCTGGGGGAGTGGGGCTTTAAATAGGGAAGGAAAAGGGGTTAAGGGGCTATATAGGGTTGCAAGGCTTATATGGCTCAGGTTGGGATATGGACGCTTTCTTCGACCCAGACCCCGATGCACCTGGCAAGACTTACGTGAGGCCAGGATCTGCGCATTCTGTGAGCTTTCGTCGAAACTCCTTCACGGGTGTTCTATAGGGGGTTATATTTAGGGGAGTATTTAAGGGGCCATGGAGGGGGATGCTAGGAGTTTAGACAACGGCTCCGGGGAGTGCTGGAGTGAATATAGGTACCATGATAGGGGTATATATGGGGATTTTATATTGATCATTATAGCGATTCACTCCCCTACCACCTTAAGCACCAGTAAGCCAGGCTTGGGCATTTCATTCCCGGCATCGAGCAGTTCGATGGAGAGTTCTTCGGCCTCAGCGAGATGGAACAGCGTGGCATGGCACCGGCCTCAAGTCGTAAGAGCATCTCTTTTGATGAGTCAAAGCTGCTTTCCCCAAGGATCCGCACCAGTGGCTCACACTGGAGATCACCTACGACAGCATGTTCTCTGCAGGCATGAGATCGTTGAGCTTGTGTGAGCTGAGCATGGCTGTTGTTTATCGCTCTCCTTTGAGGCCTGACAAAGGAGACGATGAATGGCCTGGACTGCGGCGTTTACGTTGGCTGCGCCACGCTCGGCGGAATCGAGCCGGACATTCCCGCTTTTGGGCCCTTCACGAACATCGGTGGGGCCCTTGGCGCTGTGTCATGCTGTGCCCAAGCACGGGCAGAGTACTTTGCGTGACAGGCTATGCCTACTCTGGACTGTCCGGCCGCGTGTCCCACACGTTGTCCCTCCGTGGCCCCTGCTTCACTGTCGACACGGCTTGCTCGGCTACAGTCTCTCGCTCAGAATTTTCCTGAAGCGTGGTAATTATCCCTTTTGTATCCTAGTTATGTGTACCTAGACCAAAAAGGTAGGCAAAACAATAGCCACAACAGTAGCCCACAAAGCAACTTTCCTACATACTTTGTTGGTGTTCAGGTAGTGTCATATATTCCAATATATTGTAGTATATTACTATAATCGATCTATAAATATACTATAGTATCTACAGTATATTATAGTCATGCTAGTAATATACTATTTTCTAGGGCTTGCGCTGAAGGTGGTGGCGCTGGACTGCGCCAGCCAGGCCCTGCGGCTCGGGCGCTGCCGCTTGGCAGCCGCCAGCGGTGTGAACCTGCAGCTGTCGGCTGCAATTTGGGCCTGCGCCCCAGAAAATAGTGTATCATAGCATGTACTGTAGTATATTATAGTATATTGTAGTATATGATTGTATATTATAGTTTAGTATATCATTTGAAGCCTCTTTGAAGCTAGCAGAGGGCATTATGATGCAGCATGCTCAAGTTGCTCTTGAACCCTCAGCCCTAAACCCCCAAAGCCCAAACCCTAGACCCTAAAACCTAAACCCCCAAACCCTAGACCCCCGAAACCCTAAACCCCTAAACCAAGGTGGGCTTCGCAAAGATGCGTGGCCTGGCCATGGACGGAAACTGCAAGACCTTTGACAGCTCGGCCGACGGCTTTGCGCGGGGCGAGGGCATGGGCAGTGGCCCCAACTCGAACTATACAATAGTATACTACAATATATTAGTATATTACAATATATGACAATGAACTATAGTATACTATAATACACTATCATGTATTACAACATACTATAATATACTATATACTAGAATAACATGTAACATACTACAATATGCTACAATATGCAGAGCCCTGCGGGGATGCATTGAATACCTTCGCAAAATCTTGGCAAGGCTCTGTGTACGTGGCTCCGGCAGCTGCTGCGCCAGTTGCGCTGCTGGGCGGTGTGGCCAGCGCCTTGCAGCCATGGTTCTTTGGAGCAGTATGTATGGTATCTTATAGTATCTTAAATATAGTATATTGTAGTATATTATCATATATTCTAGTATCATATAGTATAGTTTAGTATGTTATGGAGAGGCTAGCGATTTCAAGCTTTCAGGCTACGAACCACGATGGTCGGGCCGCCACCATCACAGCTCCAAATGGCACGGCACAGCAGCAGAGTTCTCAGGATCCAACGCGCGATCTACTGGGCTGCTGTTATTCATTCAAGTTACCATGTCCTGGGAACCATATTGACTTACATGTATATATATATATAGAGACACCTATTGATTATGGTAATCCAGTTTAAGTTCCATATATGCACATGAATTATGATGATTTAGTTTAAGTTCCTCGTCAGCAACACAGTCTAAGGTCTAGTCAACTTGCCTTTGTGCGGAAGTCAGGCGTGTGATCCGGGCTGCACTGGCGGAGCGCGCTACACGACCGGAGGTGGAGAACAGATCTGCAGTGCCATATGAGCTATTCAAAGCTCCGTAGAGTGGTTGTTGAAGGGATTGTATTTATGTGGGGTTCTACGGGGATATTGCCCCCAATAATATGAAATCAATTGGAGAAGACCGCGGAAAATCAAATGGAGAAGAGAATGTCTAATGAAATGATTCCACAAGGAAAAAGAACATGGAACATGAGAGGAAAACTGGGGTTCTACAGTGGTTCGCGGAGAGTAGGGTACTTGTACCAGATGTCCTGCAGCGAAGACAGCTGCTAGTAGAGAAGATTATATACTGTAATATACGATAATATTCTATAACACACCATAATGTATTACAATCTCCTACAAGATAATAGAATTACGAAAAATACTACAATATATAACAAGATATTATAATATGCTATTATATATACGTGTATATTATACTCATACCTGAGCCGAAAAGGCGCTGGGCTGCTTGGAGTGCCACGGCACGGGCACTGCGCTGGGAGATCCCATTGAGGCCATATGGAGCTGGGGTCCTCAAGACTCAAGCTTCGCCAAACCTCTCAACCCTATACCTCAAATCCGCAAACCCTGAACCCCCAAACCCTAAACCCGTAATCCGTAAACCCTAAATCCCGAACCCTAAAACCTAAGCCCCAAGCTCCAAGCCCTAAACCTCTAAGCATCCTGGCTTCAGGTTGGAGCTCAGAAAGCTGTTTACGGCAAGGGCCGCGAGCTGCCAATCGTCTTGGCTGCGGGCAAGACGAATCTAGGGCATTTGGAAGGACTGGCATCAAGTTATATGAGCTATAGTTTAAACTCCAATATGCAGGGATTACAGAGGGTTTAGGGTTATGGTCCCCAATGTAGAGTAAGCTCCTTCTAATTATGGTATTCGATGGGAAGAAGAATAACATAAGCCTTCCATGACAGTATGCGGAGGAGCTGCGGGTGTTGCTGGTCTCAGCAAAGCTGCCGGCACCACAGCTTTGCAACACCTCCTGCTTTCAGAAAGATGGCAAACCTTACTCGGGATTAGTAGGGAATAAGGGAGCATACTATTTAGGAATCATGTAGGGATTATACCCTTGTTCCCTACTAACCGCCAATAAGTAACAGCCTGCAGGTCCTTATGTTGCAGAAGGCCCAGGTGGTCCCCTTGCTCTGGCTGAAGCAGCAGTGGCCCAAGCATGTGAGCACGATGCGACGGGAATTCTGAATGATGTGAAGCTGGCATTGCAGCAGCGAACTTTGAGCAGAACACCATGCCTATATGTTGGTACGTATATGTTGTTGGATACAGCTTAGAATCCAACGGCTGCGTCTGTTAAGTGTGAGCTGCAGGTTTCCTGGAAGTGGCCAAATCCGCAAGCAAGACATTCAGCCATATCATCCACCAACCACTTACTAGCAGGAGGAAGACTGAGCTTGTTCCCAACATGGAGCTCCCATGTGGGAGGCAGTGGCCCATCTGAAAGCATAAGGGGCATCGAAAGGAAGCCTCATGATTCTGACTCGCTTGTTAAGAAGCCCAACCAGGTTGACCAAGGCTTACAAAGTTTGGCTTAAAGAGTACTCACAAGGCAACAGCGACGTTACAATGGCACCTGCAAGTCAGCTCAACTCCAAACTTGCCACAGACAAAGACCCATAATACCTGCGGATCTTCTGAAGCCTCTAAACCCTCAACACTAAAGCTCCATAATGTCTACAGGCTGCAACCCTAAACCCTAAACCTCCGTAATGCCTACAGGCTACACAATTCACTCCGTGAGGCTCAACCACAATGTGGAGCTCTCGGGTTTCGCAAATGTGCCCAGCGAGCTCCTTTGCGCCCGAGACACTGAGAGGGCGGCCGTGTCCTCTTTCGGTTCTTCCGGCAGCAAATGAATTTCAGAGGGCTATGCCGGGACCGTGTTGGGCATGAAATTCGGGTCCCCTTTTACAGAATGCATTTCAATGTGCTGGCAGACTATGTATCAAGGGCAAGAGCTCATGTTTTGTGGTTGTTCCGCTTTTTGACACTTGATGCCCGAAACCCGCTAACCTGCTAAGCTGCACCCCACCACCGAAAGCTCCTGAACTCAAGACTTGCAAAGCGGAGCAAGGCTTTTCTGGAACCAATGGCCATGTCGGCGGCTCGTGCAGGGTCTTCTGAAGGGCTTTCCAATATCCGGGACTTGCGTATTACAATTTGTTTAGAACGTATGAGCTTTAGTCTAAAACCATTCAAAAAGGGGTTTATAGGGGAGTTTGGGAACACTGCAGGGGCTAGTAAGGGGGACACTTGGAGTTTAGACTGTGGCTCATATAGTCTTCCGAGCGGTATCTGAGATGTTCTGAAGGGGGACCTTGGGACCCAGTTTTGCAGAACTCCTGGTGTTCCTTCTTCTTACCCTTGGTTAGCTAGGAATGAAAGAATGGATCCTTATAGTAGTCCCTATATAACCCAGTATAGTAGTCTCCAGTCTCTTTTCCATTCCTTCATTCAGCTAACAAAAGGCCAGTCTCCCGAGGCTATCCTGGAAGCCACCCGGGAGGAAAGCGAGGAAACCCAGGGCCGGAGCCGACCCACGGCTGTCTTCTGCCGCCGGCTGCTGCAGCCCTATCGCCCATGGCTGAAGGCTTTCTGGAAGTTAAGAAAACCCACGTCCTGAGGAAATTTTCGAAGTATCCTAGAGGGCCTTTAGGCTCTGTACGCACTGTGTTGTTGCCAGGACATCTGCTTCGAAGAGGTGTGGGTGCCGGCGCATGCTGATCACCTGGAATGGACAGGCCGAGTTGCTGTCATGGAGAATTGGAAACCCTAATCTGTTCCCTGAAATAAAACCATAAGCCCCAGACACTAAATCATCCTAAACCCTAAGCCCGAATCGTGTCTTGTTGTTTGGGGAGTCTGAGGCCCGCCCTTCCTGCTGGTGGGCGAGGGCTCGGTGTGCCATTCGCTCGCCAGCGCTGCGGCCAAGGTTCAAGCTCCCTCAGGCGGTTCAGGGTTCAGTGTTCAGGGTTTAGGGTTTAGGGTCTGTAAGGGTCCAAGTACCCAAATAGCCCAAATATTGGGATTTCGGGCACTTATGATTTGGGTACTTGGACCCTTATGAGCAACGGTCGGTACTCGAAGTGGTATGCTGTTGGAGAACGTGGTTGGGAAAAATGGGTGGCCAATGGGGTTTTGGTGTGTGTGGGTGGGGGTGTGAAGTATATGTGCATTGCCAGCAGTGCCATACACCTAAATAGGCAAGGTATCCTCTCATCTATAATTCCCCTATATGGTAGTTCCCCTTAATAAGAGGACCCCAGTATGGACCCCAAAGTATTATAATGCTTATTATGAGGAACCCCAAAATAGTACCCCTACCTTCGGGAAATCCCCCGAAACTCGCTGCTTAAGGAGTTTAGACTTTGTATCCCTAAATTACTAAACCCTGAACACTGAACCCTAAACCCTAGATCCTGAACCCTAAACCCCAAACCCTAAACGGTAAGCCCTCAACCCTAAACCCTCATCAACCCTCATCCCTCATCCCTAAACCCTAAGCCCAGAGCCCTAAACCGCTCATCTCGGCCTGCGAGGCCGTGATGAAATCGCTGCGGCCATGACCGAGGCTGGAGCCAAGACGGCTGTCTTCGTCAGCAGCTCCGGCGAGGCGGGGTGCGAGACTGCAGGGTTTAGGGCTTAGGGTTTCTAGGGTTAGGGTGTAAGGGTTCAGAGTTTAGGGCTGGCAGCAGAGGAAGAATCAAATGGAAAAGAATATGGAACGTGAACTGGAGCTTGGTTATATAGGGACTTTAGAGAAATTAGGCTTGACACTGCTTGATTAAGCTGCAGAGTTGCCAGGTGCCTGGGCAGCCACTGGTGAACCTGCTGAACTTCCTCCAAGCCCTCCAGCTTGCATCGGCCGACTCGGCCGTCGTCATCACGGTGAAGGCGTCCCGGCTATAGGAGCCCTTGTCACCCTACCCTAAGCCCCTAAACCGTAAACCTTAAACCGCGTCAGGGAGCTGCGGGCTCCATGCACTCGGGCTCCGCGCTCTGGGCCATGGCAAGATCTGCTGGGCCCTCGGAGTCGCCTCAGAGATGGCGGCGGCGTCCTAAGACTCGGCGCCTGCCTTGAGGCACGGCTGGAGCTGCGGGCGGAGATCCGGCTCTTGGAGTGCGAGGACACGGCCGGGTGCTCAGTGGAGAAATATGTAGATAGTAGTTTCCATGCTCTTTTCCATTATCCCTGCATCACAGAGTCTCACATACCCCCTCTAGTCATATGTTATATACCCTATGATTCTACAGTAGTATTAGTTAAGATATGTCGTTCTACATCTTCCTGTCGCAAGCAGCTGCACTTTGTTACGCTGCCTTGACCCCAATCCGGCCGCCCAGCTCGACACTCTGACCATTCCCAAAATAGGGGTACCCCAAATAATGTATACACTTATGTACAAAAATCCTCATTACGGGGACCGGCCAAATGAATTATTTGGAAACCCTTAACTCCACGTTACAATGCGGCGCACGCTCGAGTAAGGCCAATGTGTTGCCTGCGCTGCACCAGCTGCTGCGGGGCACGGAGACGGAGCTTTCTCTGCGGAGCGGGGTGGCGGAGGCGTTTCCAGACTTCTCAAGCAGTATGCTATTTGGGGTTTGAAGCTTAGGCTTTAACGGAGAATCAAATGGAAAAGAACATGATGCATGAAATGGACGTTAATTACAACATGTAGGGATCATATGGGGAATAAGTACTTGGTCCAAGTTGGAAGGGGCTTGACTGCTAGGCGCCGCGGCTCCAGCGCTGCAGCGCCGGGGTCCCTGCGACGCTGCAGACCCGGGACGTCCTGCAAGGCCGCCTCGGCCCGGCGCTGGTCACCGGTGGCCTGGGAGGCACTGCAGAAGTACGCTTGGGGTCACCATCAGACCATTAGAAGGACTACTGACTACAGCATTCTCGGGTCTACATTGGGGTCCCCCTATGCAGGGAAACTACAAAATTGCAAGGTGGCTGTTGAGTTGAGAAGGTTTGGGGCTTTCAGCTGCGGAGCAGCTCGCTCAGCTGGGCGCCAGCTCGCAGGGCGCTCAGGGTTTTAGGGTTTTTGGGGTTTTAGGGTTTGGGGTTTGGGGTTTTAGGGTTCAGGGTTTTGGGCTTAGGGTATCAATGCGTTGTTGTGCTGGCGGGATGAGGCTCGTCTTGGCTTCCCGCAGTGGCGCGGCCAGTGGCGCCTCACAGGGAGTTCCTGGGTTGCTGTTGAAGAACTTAATTTAAGTTACTATATTGGGGAAACCATGTTAATTACTTTGTATACCCATAATGAGCATATACCCATAATGGTAGCTTAATTTAAGCTCCTTAACAGCAACCCAGGTTCTCGCCAGGCTTCAGCTGGCCCCATCGGCCTGGGCCCTAATCGCTCAGATAGCAGGGGGTACCCCCAAAAATAGAAAATCAAAAGGAAAGCAAAATAGAACATGAAATGGAAGCTGGGGTTATCAAGGGATATTCCTCCATAAATGTACAAGGCAAGGGAACCATCAACTCGAACATGAAGTGGGAACTAGGACTTCAGCGAGCTGTCAGCTTGGAGGCCGTGGAAATCCAGAAGTGCGACGTGAGCTCTGCGGAGCAAGTTGTGGCCCTGTCTCAGAGGCCTGGCCTTTGCATTGACTTGGGAGAGAAGGCTTGTAGAGTTCAGGGTTTTAGAATTTTAGGGTTAGTTTAGGGTTTTATGTAAGTTAAAGGTTTAGGGTTCGAGGGTTTTAGGGTTTAGGGCGGGTCTCCCTCAACTGGGGGCCAAGTTCGCCGCTCAAGTTGCTTCAGGGTCAGCACGAAGGGAGACATTCAAATAGAAAGCAAAAGCAAGAATGAAATGGGCATGGGGACTCAGATAGGGCTTGATCATCTTTCTTAACCTTATTTCTATACCCTTGATCCCTAAACCTAAACCCTATGAACCCTAACAAAAACCCTAAACTTTTTGAACTACTCATTTCAATGATTTCTTCATGGCCTGTGAGGTTGGAGCATCTTGGAGCTCTGAGCACCATCGTCCATGCAGCCGTGGGCTTGGTTTAGGGAGTTTAGGGTTTAGCAGCGGCGCAGCGTCCCACTCGTAAAAGACATGTAACACACAGCGTGCGTAGGTCTCCATGCAATGCTAAAGAAACATGCGTTTCACGATTAGTGTTGGGAATTCTTGTTGGTGGCTACCTGCTGGATGTTGAGGCTGGCGTTCTGGACCGGTGTGCGCTCAAAGACCTCACGTCCTCCAGGTCGGATGCTCTTTGCGACGGAGAGTTGGCTGCTGCATGAAAATTGTTGTCAGGCTTGATGTGACATTGGGGCCAAAGGCGCACGGAGCCGGGACCCCAGCTGCCCCCCTATCATCCTCAACATGGAACTCATTAACAGGAAACCCCAGTCTCTGGAAACCCCATATGAGCGATACTTAGGGGATTATTTTTATCGATGGGGCTACCAGGAGTTGAGACTCTATCTCATGTATGATTGTCGGGCCATGATTTTGAAGAAGCATAGGGTGTTTGCTTTGGAGCCCAAGGCTTGGCACCTGCATCCACTGGGCGACCGCCTCGTCCTCTTCTCCTCGGTCTCCTCCTTTTTGGGGCTTTCCAATGGCGCTGCCTACGCAGGGCACCCGGACCGTGCAAGGGCCGGAAGCCCCGCCACTTACTTTGGCTTTGAGTCCCCAAGGCCGCGGCAAACTCCTACCTCGATGCACTTGCTGTCTGGCGGCAGCAGACGCAGCTTCTGCCTGAGATGCTGAAAGCCCATGGCCATTCTGAAAAAGGATTTGTTAGTCTGAATTGAAAGCAGAAAAAGCCAAACAATTCTAGATAATTCTCGCTCAGGAGCGCCTCAAGCGTCAGCGTGCGCTTCGGGCCCGTGGCCGACGTTGGCATGGCCGCGGTTGGGGCCTCTCCTGCTTCACTAGCAAAAAGAACGAATTGCCCGGCACGACATTGCACGTGCCAGGAGAGCAACTCGAATCTGGAGGGCATGGCGCTGCGAACGCTGCCGCTGACGCAGGCATGGAGCATCCTTGTTTTGCTCACTGATTGTTGGCCTGGCCTGACATCTTCCATCGTCCATGCAGGTGACTGGTGCGTTGCGGCTGCTGTTGGCACCAAAGCCTCTGAGCCTCACAGGCCTCACCCTGGCCAGGGCCGATTGGTCCGCCTATTTCCGGCAGTCGGCGGGCTTGGCCCCGATGCTCAAGGACTTCCGCGAGGAGCGCGAAGAGGCGGAGCCGGCAACAGTCACAGCGGAGCACAGTGCAGCACAGCGGAGCACAGTGCATCATGAAGCATGTCGAGGATTGTTCGATGAAACCTATCGCGGTCGGTCGTGCACGTGCACACAGCTGTACTGTCGAAGATGGTACGCCGAAGGATGGCTGATGCCTTGCTATGCCTCGCTCCATCCCGGCGCTTTCACGAATTGCGAATTGTTTCGAAACTTTTGCGGACCTTTCGCGGAATTTGTGAGGCATTTTCAAATTGCACGAGCACGAAATGAACTTATCTGCGCCCTGTTGGCATCTACATGGCCTTCCATGCTCCTAGACTCGTACAAGCAGAAACAGCGATTGAACATGACTAGGCACTCCATCAATCATGAGGACTATCCAGGTGGCAGTTGACCAAGAGGTTTCTTGCGAAATTCATTTACTGAGGGACTTATAATTATAGAGATCACAACGCTACTTTCCCCACGAGCTCTTTTGATCTTTGCCACCCAATGTACTCAGCCGTAAAGCTTTGTTCTAGCCATTTTGCCAGACCCAAAAGGGGCCAATGACCCTTCCCAATGGAATGCACATGAACGTCTTGCGCTTTCACGTAAATCCTTGCCAGGAATCTCCTGCGTAAGCTTGCTTCTGCAAAAGAAGCGCGGGTTAAGGAATGATGTTGCCAATGTAGCCCTCAGGAGTTTCCCCCAAGAAAGGTACACCTCATGCTAGAACTGGCTTGTTGTCCAGGAATATAACTTGAGTTACTACATTGGGGATACCATATAAATTAATGCACATTATGGTAGCTTAATTTAAGTTCCCTGACAGCAACCCAGTAAAAAATGGCTGCAGGCCACAAGGAAGGTTGAAGAGCGGTCGCCCCTGGCAGACCTGTCGGGCCCAGAGCGGGAGGTGAAGGTGTTGGCGGCCATCCAAGAAGCCGCCGGCTCCATGCATCTGGAAATTGAGGCAGACACACCCCTCATGGAGGCCCGCAGTGCAGATTCTATGAGCTATAGTCTAAACTCCTTAGAGGGGGTTCTACAAGGGATAGGGAATTACTCTAGGGGTTATTATGGGGGATGCTAGGAGTTTGGACTATGGCTCCAAATATGCCCTTTCCCCCAAGTTCAGCTCCCCAGTGACAAAGACCAAGGCAGGCATTGATTCCCTCTCGGCTGTGGAGTTCCGCGGAAAGATCTCCAGCGAGTTCAGGTCCGTGCGGCTCCCCAGCACACTGATGTTTGACCACCCGACCTTGAAAGCCATCTCACAGCACATTTCCGCGGAGCTGGTGGGCAAGGGGATGACTGCGGCACCCTTGGCAAATGGTGTGGCTCCCCTCCCATCCCAGAAGGATGCCGTTGAAGTGCTGGGTGCAGCCTGCACGCTGCCAGCTGGCAAGCTTCAGGGACTGCCCTGCAGTCTTTGGCATGGCACTGACTGCGTGTCAGAGATGCCTTACTCCCGCTGGGACGTTGATGAGTATTACGATGCAGAGGCTCCCACTGGCTTGGAAATGTACGTGCGGCACGCCGCTTTCATCGAAGGCGCAGGGCTCTGTTTTTGAAATCAGAGGCTCATTTCGGGGTTGCGTATATGTAGGGAGTTGCGGGTTCGGAGTGTGCTTTTCAAGGTCCTGGTTTCTGGAATGTGGTGACCATGGTGCTCCAGGTACCCAGCAAACCTCTAAACCCTAAACCCTCAAACCCCAGAACCCTTTACCCTAAACCCTAAACCCAAGGCCCTAAGCAAATCCTGAGGTGTGGAGCTCTTCGCCGCGCAGTTCTTCAGCATCAGCAGGGCTGAAGCAGAGGCCATGGACCCACAGCAGCGGCACCTGCTGGAAGCCGCTGCGGAAGCCTTTGCAGACTCCAGCTACTCCAGGGCTCGCCTCATGGGATTGGGTGCGGGCGTGTTTGTGGGCCAGGACAGTCAGGTTGTGTATTTTAGATTTTTCTAGAGGGCCCAAATGGAGTTCCGTGGGGGTGACCTTGGTACCCTAAATTCGAAAGCCCGAAAACCCAAATGAGCTCAAATGGCCAGGATAAGAGCGACTGGAACCGCATGCTGTCCGCTGCCCACGCTGGTCCCTTCGCTGCCACTGGCGGCTCTGCCTCGATCTCCTCGAACCGGATTTCATACAGTTTGGGCTTGAAGGGGCCGAGTGCCACGGTGGACACCGCGTGCTCTTCATCCCTGGTCGCCGCCGATACTGCCGCAGCCACTTTACGCAGAGGTCGATGCGAGCTGGCCGTCATCTGTGGGGTGAACATGCTGCTCCTGCCGCAGACCTTTATTGCTTGCTGCCAGGCTCGCATGCTCTCGGCCGATGGCCGCTGTCACACCTTTGATGCCTCAGCCAGCGGTTACACTCGTGGTGAGGGCTGCGGCGCTCAAGTGCTGGCAAACAAAGCTGCAGCCAATGCTGCGCCGCTGGCGCTGCTTGTTGGCAGTGCTCTAAACCAGGACGGCCGCAGCGCAAATCTGACCTCCCCGAACGGGCCCTCGCAAACGGCAGTGATCCAGACAGCCTTGCTGGAAGCCACGCTTTCACCCGAGCAGCTGGGTCAAGTAGAGACCCATGGCACCGGCACAGAGTTGGGGGATCCCATCGAGACAGGGGCACTGCAAGCCGCCCTGGGCTGCTCGCGAGTGCTTCTGCTGGGGGCCATCAAATCCAATTTGGGCCATCTGGAAGGCGGAGCTGGCATGGCCGGGCTCCTGAAATTGGCAGCGGCCCTAATGCCTCGGTGATGTTTTCCACCTCTTGCAAAATGTGCTCGCTGTGCGTGGCCTTGCATGTGTTATGTTGCATGCTATCATTTATAGTTATGATATTACTACTAAACACCACTATTATCCCGGTTATGGCTATTATGACTATTATGACAAGGCCTCGCAGTTGCAGCGGCCTGTCCCGGCTGTCGCGTCCAATCTTCATCTCCGCCAGCTGAACCCGCACATTGCTGAGGCTTGCGAGCGGAGAGTTGTGTTTTTGGGGATCGGAAGGAAGGGAACTCGGAAAGGATCACATACTTCCTGTACTCACATCACCTTGCACCCTTAACTTGCCAATGTTCAGAGTAAGAAGAGTCTTATATGGAGTTCCAGGTTGAGATGTGCTTGCTACTTTGCTTTCACCCTGCCTGCCTCGGTCAGGATGCAAAGGACTTCGCAGCCCTCTTCGCCAGCAGCTCCCCGGTGCAGGCAGGTCCCACCCTTTCATGTTCAGAAGTCACTGTGTGAGCTATAGTCTACATTCCTTAAAGGGGGTTATATAGGGGATATCATGGGGGTTATTTAAGCGGATACTAGGAGTTTAGACTATAGCTTATGGTGGGGGTGGCCACGGAAGAAGTTTGGCTCTGCAATCTCAAAAGCTCACTGACCCTGATGTCAGAAGGGACTGTGATTATTTCAGAACTGTGGTAGTTATACACCTGAACCCTGAACCCTGAACCCTAAACCCTAACCCTGAACCCTAAACCCTAAACCCTTGTTCCCTTTGCGTTCGCGCACGAGGCAGCAGCAAGTCTCTGTTCCTCCGTGAGCTCCTTTGGTTTCGGCTGGCTGCCCAGAAGCCTAGCATGTATTGGGGTAACATTAGGGTTAAATTGGGGTTAAATTGGGATGATGGAAAATAAAATGGAAACTACTAAAGGTATCTTGGGGTTATATTGGGATTATGAAAAATGAATGGAAACTACTATAGTACATTGGGGTTATGTTTAGGGTCTCGCTTACTGGGAGCTTTGTAGGGAATAAGGGAATCTATTTTTCTGAATTATATAGGGATTATATTATTCCCTGACCACCATTAAGCTAGGGTTTAGGGTGAAGGAGTCGCGGCCCCCATTGTCCATGGTCATGATCCAATCAATGCTGAATAAATGTTCCCCTGGTGCCCCCATGACTGCTGCTGATGCTCTTGCTGCCATTGCGCTGCTTGAAGGCTCCCTTGCTGTTCTAGCAAAAGTAGGAGGGAAAAGGAAGCGCCCAGGGAAAGGTCTTCTCGTTGTCTCTCAACTGTCTTGCACCCTTTTTACCGCGCTCTCAGGTGGTACAAACGGCCACGTGGTGCTGAGGCCCCAGGAGGCCAGGAGATTTGCAGCGCTTTGAAATGCAGATGTTTTGCTGGAACGCACGGAAGGAAAGCTTAAGAGCCCTTTACACAACAAAGCCTTTTGCGGCAGACTCCCTTCACCAGGTCATCCGCAAATGGCCATGGCACAGAATATACTGTAAGATTTCTTTTCAAGGAATCCAGGCTTCTCGGGGAGGGAACCTTTTTTGGCTTGCACGAGCCTGCAACACAGTGCTCATTTTGCTGTGATGTACTCAGCGGTGCAAGAGGTGCTGCATCTCCCTCAGGATTTGCTGCATGGAAGCTAGAACCTAGAGCCTTCTGGTCGCAGGCGCGGCGGCCGCAAGGAGCCTTGGACTTTGGCCGGGGTCCCAAAGCTTCTTTTTTCAAAAGATCTACTACTTCTCGGGCTTTGGCGGAGGCCGCGAGCGCTTCGAATGGCGGGCGCCCAGCCACCCGCTGATCCGGAAGAGGCTTCAGCGTGAGGATGGCGTGCACGTCCTGAGCTGCCAGGGCCTGAGCTTGTCTATTTAAAGTCTTAATGAGGTCTTGGAAGTATGGGTTGTCCCAGCCACCTCTCAAAGAAGCTAAGGTCCCATCGACGGCCACGTCCTTGAGCTCCTTTCGCATCACATCGTCCACGGCGAGGCTAAGGGTGAAGAGATGCGGAAAGATGATGGAAGGCTATACTGTTCAAGATCCGATGTATACAGCCCCCATACATCTTGGGAATTATGGGGTATGGTAAGTGTACCTATCATCATGTAGGAATTTGTGTCCATTCTGAAAGCGCTCTTTGAATAACAGGTGGTGGTCCCTGGTGCCTGCTACCTGGAGATGATTCTTGCGGGTCTGAAAGCCCATCTGGGACAGGCTCTCTGGAGGGTCTCCACAGCTCTTGCACCCCACAACCCTAAGATTCCCCTAGATCCTAAGTCAGAAAGCCTCAAACTGCCCTACATTGCCCTAAACTGCCCTTTGCGCCTTGAGTGGCGCCCTCTCTCTCCCTTGATGTCAGGAAGCTTGGCAGATCGAAAGCCTTGGCTTTGCCAAGCCTTTGGTACTCCGACTCTCGCAGTCTGGGGAGCTGGAGGCACAGCCTCTCCACTGCCTGAAGCGTGCGTTTGGGTGGGATGATAGAAACATACCATAAGACTACAACATCAGTGTAACATCCTTATCCGAACTCCATAATAACCATAAAAACGCCGGCATTCTTCCCAGCAATTCTTATGCCCCTAAACCCCTAAGCCAAAGTGCTCAGGAGTTCCCCTTTGAAAGTTTTTCTGGGACTCCTTTGAGCACCCAGGCCAAGGGTAGCGGCACCTTCTCCAGTTTCAGACCCAGTCATCAGGCTACACCGC